CAGGGAACAGAACAGGCAGATTGACCAAAGTACACTGCTGAGGGGAGCAGCGGGCGAATTAGGAGAGGTCTGCTGTGCCATGTGGGTAGCTCCCTGCCCGGGGATTGAACTCAAGGCTGCGGACAGCTCCACAGTGCTGCGCTCAACCCCACCAGGGGGGCCCCCAACACATGACTTTGTAACAGTAGCCATCTGGAAAAAAACACTTTGCAGATTTATTTAAATCTTCCAAAAATTCAACATATTTTATTACACACTATTAAAAACCCACACTTCTTAGTAGCACCACTAAACTCATCAGAAAAGTCTTGAAGTATTGGGAAGCTGTCCAGCTCATGACAGAAAACATCCTAATTGACAAGTTTTCTAAAAATTCAAATTCTTGTTTGAAGGCTTGAAATCTATCATTAGCTGCAGTACTGTCAGTTGTTATCCTTGAAAGCGACAGGCTCATTTTATTCGCTTTTGAGAAAATGCCTGTCAAAGACCAGGTTTGAAGCATGTCAGGCACTTTTTTTTTCTTTTTGGATTAAAAGTAGGGCTCGACCCCAAATTCATTGCAGCATTATTCACAATAGCCAGCCTGTGCAAACAACCTAGTCCCCATCCAGAGATGGCTGGATATTCCCAATACACGCACAGTGTCTCTGTACATCAGGGGATACTACTTAGTTATAGACAAATGAAATCCTGCCACTTGCCACAACATGGATGGACCTAGAGATTATTATGCTCAGTGAAATAAGTCAGACGGAGAAACACAAGCACTGTACGATCTCACAGATATGTGGAAGCTAAAGAAACAAAACAAATGAACGAAACAAAAATTCTAAAACCACAAGATCAAAATAGTGGTTACCAGAATGGTTAAATTGGGTGTGGGTAAATCAGGTAAGAGGGGTGGATTGTTTGGTGAAGCATGGAAACTAGACCCAATTTCGGTGATGGGCCTAGTGTAGCTATATACCGATGTCGCTGTGTAAGTCTGTGCACCTGAAACCTATATGATGTGCTAATTCAATAGGATGAAAGTGCTGCTCCTGGAACGCCTTGGCTTGTTCAGTCTGCAACTCCATGAACTGCACGTGTGGTTTTTCTCGAGACAGTGATCATGCTTGAATGTGCAGAAATGATCTAGTTACACTTTCCATTTTACCATGTAGAATATTAAAATGTTTTGTTCAAGATTCAATCATTTCACTAGATCAAGGCCACTCTGAAGTAAAGCTGGCTCCTTTTCCTACAGCGCGTGGTCGCAAAGGACACTGTTGCTGTGGCTCTAGCTTATCTGGATCATGTGCAGACACTGGCCGTGGTCAGCACGTTGCATTGGCACCATCAGTACGCACATGAACTCAGAGAAAAAGCCAAGTAGCACCTTGGCAGAAGAACTTAAAAAGACATTTCTCCAAAGAGGAAATGCAAACGGCTAACAGGCATATGAAAAAATGTTCAACATCCCTTATCATCAGGGAAATGCAAATCAAAACCACACTGAGATATCACCTTACACCAGTGAGAATGGCACATATCAAAAAAACAAGCAACAACAAATGTTGGCGAGGATGTGGTGAAAAAGGAGCTCTCCTGCACTGCTGGTGGGAGTGCAAACTGGTCCAACCACTCTGGAAAGCTGCCTGGAGGTTCCTCAGTCTACTAAAAATGGAGCTACCAGGCAACCTGGCAGTTCCACTCCTAGGCATCTACCCAAAGGACACAAAAACATTGAATCAAAAAACCACATGTATCCCTATGTTTATTGCAGCACTATTTACAGTAGGTAAAACCTGGGAACAACCCAAATGCCCAAAAACACATGACTGGATCAAGAAGATGTGGTACATATACACAATGGAATATTATTCAGCAATCAAAAAAGATATTTTGGAATTAGTTTTGACTATAGATTCCCCCAGGGAGCCCAGGAGTCAACGACCAAACATTCTGACCTTCTGACTTAAAGTTGACTCTGGAAGCAACTCAGCATGTTTGGATAAGGTCCCTTTTCCTGAAGTCAGGCAGCGTGGTGACCGTTGCCTGTGTCCAGTGACCCATGTTAAACACACCATTGTTTATGACTGGTTGAGTCAAAAATGGTTAAGGAACTCTAGTTTAGGGCAATTTGGAATGAAATCCTTCCAGGAAGCATTATAATTGAGAAGAATGAAAGATTCTCAAGCTTCAGTTGACTAAAAAGAACCCCTAACATTATGCTTTCTACATTCTTGGTATTAAGTCAGTGCTAAGCAGGCAAGTGTATGTCAGCCCCTGAAGTGTGGCACAGAAGAAGGGTGTTCTAATCCTCTCCCCTCTCATGGGTGCTGGCGGCCACCGTGGTGAGCTCAGTATTATTGTCCTCATTTTAGCCATTAGAAAAAACCTGGAATCAATGAGTGGTTAAATCTTTGGCCAGAGGCCAGTAGTCAGACCCCTCATGCTGGCTGAGAGGCTCCAAAACTCCAGACCTCTCCATTCTACCACGCAGGAGTTTCTGACCAGGAGAAAAAAGAACGCGCCTATGAGCCTGAGGTTATGCCTTTAGAGGGCAGGGCAGTCAAGTCGTGGGGGTCAGAGGTGGTCTTTAAGGAACTGACTTTATAAATCCTATCACAACAATACGGTCACGTTGGCTCTCCACCGGTGTCACATTTCTGACATGCCATAAAGTGGTGTTTGCGAGTTGGAAGAGACTGCAATCATGTGATCTGTCCAGATCGCTTGCTCAGGAGTCATGCGGGAAGAGTCAATGGGCATTTCAGATCGACCTCCAAGGTGATGACTTTTGATCATCCCATCATGGCTCATTCTCCCCACCCCCATGTTCCCAATTAAAATGTATGACAGGACCTCCCCTGGTGGTGCAGCGGTTGAGCGCTGGGCTGTGAAGCTGCCCGCAGCCTCTGCAGCACGGGTTCGATCCCTGGCTGCTGGGGAGGGTCCCACATGGTGCGTAGACCTCTCCTGCCGCACCCGCTGCTCCCCTCAACAGTGTATCTGTTCAGTCTGCCTGTTCTGTTCCCCACTCTGGCTCTGGTGAATTCTCTCACCCTCCCATGCTTCTGACTGTACCCAGTGCTTATATAAATAAATAAATAAATCTTAAAAAAAAAAAAATAATCTAAAAAAAAAAAAATGTATGACACTGAATGTGGCAGGTAGCTCCTTAGATGGTCCCAGTCATCCCTGCCTCCTGGTAGCCACACCCTCTATGAGCCCCTCTTCTTGAGTGACTTACTTTTCTCACAGACAATCACAAAGGCGTTGGGTGTCACTAGTGTGATCAGGATTCATAAGATAATGACTTTTGTCCAGCTAGACTCTTGTGATCACCTTCTAGCTGTGCACACTTGATGATGCAGCGCTGGAAAGGTCTACATGGCGGGGTGGTCACTGGCCTCTGGTACATGGGGGACTCAAAACCTCAGTCCAACAGTCTGAGATGCTGAATCTGGCCAACAACCACTGTTTGAACTTGGAGGCAGATCCTTCCCCAGGAGAGCCTTTAGATGAGACCCCAGTCCCAGCTGACACTTTCTCACACCCCGTGAGAGACCCTGAAGCCGATGTACTGATCTACATCTAAGCTAAGCTACGATGCAGTGACACTATGAGATTAAGGAACTGACTTTATATGGCTGCTTATGTTTTGTTTTCAGTTGCTAAGTTTTAAAAAAAGATTTATTTATTTATGCATACAAGAACTGGGGTACAGGCCACAGATGGGGGGGTGATTCACCAGAGACAGAGAACAGAACAGGCAGACTGACAAACACACCATTGAGGGGAGCAGCGGGCGAGACAGGAGAGGTCTGCTGCACCACGTGGGTAGCTCCCTGGCTGGGGATCGAACTCGAGCTTCAGAGGCTGCGGACAGCTTCATAGGTTGTGTCTTAATCTCTTGCGCCACCAGGCAGGCCCCTCAGTTGCTAAGTTTTGTGTTAATTTGTTAGACAGCAGCAGCTAATGAACACATGGCACGGTGTTTGCTGATGTGTCTCTCTTCAGCACCAGGAATGGCCTGTGCAAAGTCATGGCGTCCTTGTGTGTCATGTATGTAGCTGTTTGCCCACCAGTAAGAAGTTCCCGTTGGGACCCATCCTGAGGGCACAGGGGGGATGCTCTCCGAGTCGCCCATCAGTTCCACTCGTTCGGACCTCTGTAATTGTCTTTCTCCACTTAGCCATAGTCATGCTTGGTTAAGGTCAGTCAGGGCCGAGTTCTGAGAAGTGTGTCTTAGGAGATTTCATCTCGTGCAGCATGCGGTGTCCTGACACAACCCCCGAGGGCGTAGCCACTGCACCCCGAGGGGCAGCTACCACAGCCCTAGGTTGGGGTTCACCTGCAAATGAGCCCGGGGCCCATGTCTGTCCTTAGCTTCCAAACCAGGGCAGCTTGGCACAGAGTCCCTGCGGCGGAGCCAGGGACGGGGCTCTCCGTGCCCCAACTGCTCTTCCCCAGCCGCGCCCCGTGGGTAGCAGAAGCGCACGCCGCGCCCGGCCCCACGCGAAGGGCAACGCGTCTGTGAAAATCGAAGCCCCGAGGTGAGAATCTCTTCTTGAGAGAAAGCGGGACACCGGCGGGACCCTGCAAAGGAATCGCGCGCAGGGCGCCCCGGCTCTGCGCGCCCCTGGGGACGGCGGGGAGCGGCCGGGCGCACCTGCCTCCCGCGGGCCCGTGAGCTGCGCGGCGACCTCCGCGTGTCCCAGGGGCGCCGGGCCGCGGGGAGCGGGGCCGGCCAGGAGCGCGGCGGGCCCGGCTGGGCTGCCCCGCCCACGTGGGGCCGCGGCCGTCGAATGGGCCCGCGCGACGTGTTGGCTGCGGCGGCCGCGCGGGCTCTTCCGGCGCCGCTTCCTGCCCCGCGCCGCGCAGCCGCCTCCGCGCGGGAGCCGGGCGGGACCTGCAGGCCGGGCGGGAGCCGGGCAGGAGCCGGGCACACCGGGCGCGGGCCGGGAGCCGGGCTCAGCCGTGCGCCCCTCGGGCCCTGCGCCTCGGCCCGCACCATGCGCGCTGCGCCCCCGCCGCTGCTGCTGCTGCTGCTGCTGCTCCCGGCCGCGCTCCTGGCCGCGCCCGCCGCGCGCGCCGGCAGAGCCCAGGCGGGCCGCGCGCCGCAGCCCCCACCCGAGCGCCCGCCGCCCGGCCCGGGCCCCGGGAACGCCACCCGGACGGCGCCGGGCGCCGGCGGCCCCTCCAACAGCAGCGGCGACGCGCTGGTGACCCGCCTCTCCGGCCTGCTCCGCGCCCTGCCCACGCTGAAGGCGGCCGTGGTCGTGGCGTGCGCCCTCGCCGCGCTGCTCGTCGCCTGCCTGCTGCTGCGCGTCCTCAGGTGGGTCCGGCCGCCCGGCCTCGCCCGCGCGCCCACTCCCCGCCGCCGCCGGGCGCGCGCGGTGCTCCCGGAGCGCCTCCTGCTCGGGGCCGGGCGCCCGGTGCGCCCCGAGGCCTGGCCCCGCCGGGGTGCGCTCGGCCCCCTGGCGCGCGTGGCGGGAATTCCCGCCCCCCTGAGCGAGGTGTCTCCCTCACATGGGCTGTCCTGGAACCCTCGCGATTGCTTAACCCACAGTAGGACGCCGAATTCTGAGCCTTACCCGGGATTCACTTCTATACCCATTTCACAGATGAGGCTCCCCCTGCACCCCCAGAGAGGCAGCGTGTCTCCTCCAAGGAAACTCACTGGTGGAGGGAGAATGTGAACCCAGGTTGGCTGACAGGAACCCACCGGGCGGCCCCTCCCTCCAGGCTGGGGCGTCTCCATGCCCCCTTCCCTCTCCCTTCGCTCAGTCCTGCTACCCAGAGAAGCGTGGTTCGCAGGCGGGGGCTGCCCCCAAGCCTGTGAGAGGCCGGCTTTGCAGAGCTGGAGCTGGGCTGCAGGGCCCCGGCGACTTCTAAGTGGGGTCAAAGCGGGTCTCCCACCTTCTGGCTCCTTGGGCTGCCCCAGTGAGGCTTATCAGGGCTGAGAAGCCTTGGGGAAGCTTTGTAGATTGCTCTGGGAAGGGAGGAAGTTTTCCCAGGGCCCTGGAGAAGCGAGGTGAGGAGGCTACAGGAGTGCAGAGGACATTTCCCCCCCAAAGCCTGGGGAATCCTGTTTTTGCAGGAAATGAATCAAGTGTGTCCTGCTACCCTGACAGGCTGCCGGGAAATGTGGGTGTGCGTGTCTCTCGCCCTCTGCTTGCTCCCTCCCCTAACGAATGTACACAACATGCTGCAGTGTTTGCTCAGCTGTTGCAGGTTTGGGGCCAGGCCCTGGGTCTCGGGATCCAGACCTGGAAAGCTGGGAGTTGTGTCACGAGCTTTGCTGTGGTTGTGTGTGACTCCGAGTCCAGGAGTTTCCTTGCGGGTCTATTGGATTAAATGCCAGGGGTCCCCAGAAACCAGAGACAGGGGAGCCCCTGCTCTATCCCAGGCCATGCTGTTCCTTTCTGTGCCGGTCCCCTTGGTTCTGCAGGCTTTGGGTTACCTGTCTCTTCAGTCCATCCTTCCAATTGCCTTCGCTCCTCTGCTTATAAGCTTCATGAGGCCGCTGCCTGGGTGTGGCCTCGGGTCCCAGCGCAGCTTGCAACCACCGCCAGCCATTCCCAGCATCTTCTCTGTCCTTTGTTCCGTAATGCCGGCTTGTGCTTTATGACCCCTGGGCCGGTTTCTGCTCTCCACCTTCCGGGACTGCATGCAGCCATTCAGGGCCAACGCCATGCCTCTTCCTCCGTGTAGTCTTCCTGGATTGAGTGAGGCAATCCATCTCTCTTCTGCGACCCCTGCCCTAGCCTTCTGCTCGCTCCATACAGCCTACCGTGCCCTATTCTGGCGTCCAGCTCCCTCATTCAGCAGAGCCCTGTAGGGTGGGCTGTCCAGTCCATCCCGGTGTCCCTGTGCCCAGCAGGGGCCTGGCCTTTAGCAGGTACTCCGTACTCATTTACAGACTCCTCATTGGTTGGGTAGAGTGGATGTGAACACCGAGAGCAGTTCTGAACTTGGAGGTTTGAAACTTGGAGCTCAAAATAGGCCGCCCAGCCCACAAGGCAGTGTACTTTTTAAGAAGGTATTTGAACTATTCTGCCAGTCTGCTCCTTATTACCCAGGAGGGAGGGAGGGAATCAAGCAGCATGCGGCCAGATGTGAGCTGGTGTTTGATGGGGAGCCTGACGGGGCTGGGTCCTTGTCAGCTTGGAAGAGGATTCCACCGACTTCATAGAGGAAGTGGGGTACCACCAGCATGGTCTGCCTCTGCTTTCTGGTAAGGTATTCTCTGGGGCTGAGTTTCGGGGTGAACGTCTGCAGCCCCACCTTATGTCGACAGGCATTGACAGCATTTACGTTGTACAGCTGGGAAGCACCTTGATGGTTCAGTCCCCTGGTGCCCCTTTGTAAAGGGGAAAGCTGATCCCAGGGAGTGGAGTGAATCATCTAGAAGGCTGTGGCCCGGGGCCGGGACAACACCAACCCCGTTCCCCTGCTCAGTGCTCTGCATTCTGACCTCTCCACCTTTCCATGGCCCCTGCAGGCTTGGCTCATCCGGCTTCCAGATGCCTGCTGCGTTGGCTGGCCATCCTCACCTGCTTCCCCTCCCTGCCACTTCCTCCTCAGCATGCCCGCAGCCCGCTGCCCGGCACATGTCTTCTGGAGGCCATCTCCCCCGCTCCCGTATCCCGCTCCCCATTCGCCAGTGCCTCTGCCGGGCAGGCCGCCTTACCTAGACTCATCCTGCCTGTGTCCTTTTGTGTGGTTTCCTGCTGAAACTTGTCCCTGCTGCCATCCGCCCCTCCCTCTTCTGGGCTCATCCTTCCTTTGCCCCCACGCTTAGCGTGTAGGCCAGCCTGGCTCTTCATGGGCAGGGGCCGGCCTCCCTCCTTGTGAGGCCCAGGCTTGCCCCAGTCTGGCCCTCTGTTCGGAGTCCACTTGCCACAAGCCCATAGCTGTTGGCTGAGCTGTGTCACCTCCTCCGAGAAGCCGCCCCAGCCTGCGCTCCCATTTGAGTTTTAAATGCTCTCCATAGAGAGTGTGTCTCTGCACGTGTCCTTTCGCCTCTCCGGGTGGGCGCTGGGCCTTACAAGATCTTCAGTGTCTCTCCTACACCTTCTGTGGCTCCAAGCACACGCAGGCACCCAATAAACCTATATATTGCAAACGTGTGCTGAACTTCTAGGCATTCTACATTGCTGGTGCTTCTCTATCTAAGTGTGCTCTGGGACTAGACACTGGGCCGATGTCTGACTCTGTAAGGTAGGGATTTGCCTCAGCACCTTGCATTTTCTGAACCATGTGGATGGTGAGGAATGTAGTGGCTGTAGTTGCTGGTGAAATGGCAGACGCAGCCCATTTGTCAGGCAGCAGAAAAGTGGGTCCAGGGAAACTTAATATCAGAAAGGGACAATGTGTGTCATAATGAAATAGATACTATGTGCCTTTAACTGAGGAGTTCTGGCCCCATGCTAAACCTTTTTTTTTACTGTGACACCCGTTCTTTGCTTCTGATTTCATTAATTAGAGGCAGCAAAGATGCACAGCAGCAAGGGCCATAGCAGGGTCTTTGGCAGGTGAAAGGTTTAAATAACTTGAGTCCTGCAGTTGGGCATTGGCTCAAGGAATCCGGTTATCCCAGCTGTGCAGCTGGCTCCAGAACAGCACGTGTGGCATGAGCTCGTTTTCATAGATGTTGTGTATGTGGACGTGCAGAGCGATCTAGATGTGTGTTTGCGCATGTGAACAATAGACAGATAGTCATTATTTTTTCTCCCTGAATCAGCTCTTTGCTGCTTCCTTGGCTATGTCTTCCAGAGCTTCTATACAGGAGCAGCTGGAGTTATACCTGGAAGTGGGGTGTCTGGGTTCCAGGGGTAGTCAGGCTTGATTTCCCTCAGCTTCCCACTTATCTCAGGATGTGGGTTCTCATCCTTCCAGCATAGCCCACACTTAGTGTTACCCAACTCTCTGTTTTCCTGTCAGCTGGGTATTCTTGGGTATCTCGTGGCCTTGTTCTGCATTTCTCCATTAGCTTCCGAGATGGGGCAGCTGTCTCTGTCTCTTCCCACCCTTGTTAAGCAAGCCGATCTTGCCATCTGCAGAATCATTTACACCTTTTTTTTTTTTTTTAAAGATTTATTTATTTATTTATACAAGCACGGGGTACAGTCAGAAGCGCGGGAGGGTGAGAGAATTCACCAGAGCCAGAGCGGGGAGCAGAGCAGGCAGAAGGACCGAAGTACACTGCTGAGGGGAGCAGCGGGCAGCAGGAGAGGTCTGCGCGCCATGTGGGACCCTCACCCAGTGGCCGGGGATCGAACCGGTGCTGCAGAGGCTGCGGGCAGCTTCGCAACCCAGCGCTCAACCACTGCGCCACCGGGGAGGCCCTCATTTACACCTTTTTCATGCATTTTAATCATTAAGGAAAACTGTGTCTAGCCAAAATTGGAAGGGGAGGAAATTTGGAGGCCGAGTGTCCTCTGGTAAGACCACGTGTGTGTGTGTGTGTGTGTGCGTGTGCGCGTGTGTGCGAGCGCATGCTAGCGCACACACATGCACATGGGCACATGGGCATGCGCCTGGCTCCCACTGGGGCCACCTGGCCTGGGCCTCTTTTCCCCAGGTCTGTTACTAAGCATCTTTCTGTCTTTGTGAGAGCTGAAGGGTATCAGAGAGGTTCAGGGAAGCAGAAAACCACGGACCCCTCCAGATTTTTGGAGCTGGGAAGGATGTGGTGGAGTGTCTGGGTTTGGAAATAGTAAGTAGAGGCCACCGGCCGCTGCTCCCAGGGTCTTCTGTGCCACGTGATTTCTGAAGCCTGCCTTTACCCCTTGAGATCTGGGGGGACGCCAGGTTTACTCTAGGAGTCTTACAGCCAGAGTGGTGATGAGTCTGTGAAAGTACCACCTGAGACCAGGCTTTCCTTTCCTCTTGGGGAGCCTTTCCTTGTCCTTTCCTTGTCCAGCCAGTCTCCCCGCTCCACTGCCAGGCCCACATCCCTGCTGGCTGCCTGCCCAGCCTCTTATTTTTAAAGCTGTAAAGTCCTCTTATCTGAAAGGGGGGTTGTTCTGGTGCTCCCGGCCGTGGGGGAGGAAGGTGAGTTGCAGGTGTCTGGCATGGTCCAGCTGCGCCTGGCATCAGGGCACAGTGCTCCTGCCTGTCTTGGCCGCGGGGAGTTTACTAAGCCAGGCCTTTGAAAAGGAACTAAGGTGTTCCTGCTTATTCTGGGTCCCCCAAATTTCCCATCATCTCTATTTACATTTGTAATAGGGATAAGAGTTATTTAAGAGAGATGCAGAAATTTAATATACTTAGGATTTGTCACTACTCTGAAAGGTGTTTAGTTTTTTACTCATTAGTGTTTTGCTATTA